TTTATCGGACTAAGCTCATAATTTCTTTTGTTGGGGGCTGAATCGGACTTCTTCGTGTCTTCCTCCCCAAAACTAGGGGGCGATATGGGTCTTTTCAGCATTTTTGCTGTTTCCAGTTGACTCCATACAACTGTCAACAACAACAACAGCTGGTTAGTGCCAGACATCAGAAGTGGTTACACCTACTGCTGGGCATTTTCGAGCAAGAAGATGGAGCATCGTACAGAGTTGTTTTTGTCGTACATGAGGTACGCGCTACTTTTTCTGCAGATGAAGTGCACGCCACTCCTCTTCTCTGGTGTTTTTGCTCTGGGGTTACAGGGGTGTGGTGCACTCGCATATGCAATGTCCACTCATACTCCGACTACACCGGTTACATGGTAGAGAAAATCGGATTCCAATCGAATTATCTGGGTGTCTTAATCGGAGTTCTCCAACTCCAATCGGAGTTCTCCAATTACAGTGGGACTAAGATGTTTACATGCACTTCAGTTGTCCGGTCTTAATCGGAGTAAGGCAATAATTCGTTTTGTGCGAGTGTCATGTAAACTTACTTCTGTCCATGTCCCAGTTTACGAGAACTGGGCAAGAATCAAACCCTGAACTTTGTCCACTTCCACTACTGTAGGTGGAGTCATGCCCCCTTTCCACTTCACATCAAAGAAGAAAAACACTCTTGCTTTCACAGCTCTGAACCTTTTGCTGGTACGAAACGACAGTTTCCTTTTTAACATCATTTTTAAACGACATGCAAACTTTCTGAAATGTCAAAGCTCTAATCTGGCCTAAAGTCATCTAGTGTGAGACCAGTCTAAGGTGTCAGATGGACTTTTTCTCACTAAACTTCATCAGGGAGTCAAAACAAGCCATCCTGTTGTAGATTTGATGCAGCAGTATCTTTATGTGCCCTTCATTTCTTATGGTTCCTCACATCTATTCAATCCCATATTAAAAAGAGCTTCAAACATCAAAAGAGCTTTACTCTAACTCAGCAGACAATAAGACCCCCTATTCTTTGAGTCTCTGGTTCTACAGACACTTCTGAATATTTGCTGCAGTGCGCACTGACCCCTCTTGTTTGTGCTGCGTGGATCTCAGTGAAACTGTTCGTACTGGTTATTGTTTAACTTTGCAGGAACTCGTGTTGTTTCTTTTATTTGCTTCCTGCTCCTCTCCCTTTCATTCCCTCCGCCTCCACACTAGCGAGGTCAAAACACTCCGGATACAACTGAACCACTACATACTAGATAGTTTACAGTTTGACATTTCTAACCTCTCCTGGGACTCGTAGGCTTTGGCCATATTTGGACTGATATTACCAGGGGAGCTTGTATGATCTAGAGCATTGACCACCCCCCATCTGTGCGTGATGTGGGACATTCACACAGCAGAAGTACAGTCTGTATTCTGATGGTTTTATAGAAATTATCCCAAGGAAATGAAGTCAAGGCATTGCGTGACACTCTCAACATGGAAAAGGCCCGTCATTGTTGAAGGAGGGGATGTGAGTCTCAAGCTATCTTTGTCGAGGATACATCTAAACCCATCATACACTGAGCCTATCAGTACAAGCATCTTGTGTCATTAGTTGCTTCATGTCAATTTATTTAAATCAAATCTATGGCACACACAAAAAAGGTCAAACGTCATGATATTTTACTAAAGCAGAAGATAAGGAAGAAGTTTTGCTGTTTATTATTCTGAATCCCCAAATAGGGGACATGACTACATGGGGGAAGAGTCACAGAGTTAATTTTGAGAGCTTTTCAGGTTAGATCGAGTGTTTTTTTCGCGCTTCTGACTCAGTAAGTTTGTGCGACACAAACTCAAAATTTCCATACCAAACCCCGGCCAGTTAAATGATTTTATAAACTCCCCCGGACAAAGCCGGACAAGGCCGGACAGTCCCCAAAAAAGAGGACATGTCCGGGTAAAAGAGGACGTACGGTCACCCTAACCTTCATAGCCAAACTTATCAGTACTGTGCACCAATTTAAACCAAAATACACTTCAACAGCATGGAGAACTTTGTCAGCTGCCTGCTGCAGGACAGTGATCCTCCTCCACTTAATCACATCCAAAGTCCTCAGCAATTCAAGTCTGTTTAAAAGAGCCATTCAACACCAGTTAGCAAACTAAATGAGATGAAATAGAGTGACATTAAGAGGTATACAAGGTCAGTGAAATGACCCTTAAGCAAAAGTGATTGATATGCCCTCATCAAAAGCTTTTGTAGAATCATATTGTTGTCCTTTCTTTCTGCCTTTTAAAAGAAACATATTGATGTTGGAACTGATAAGAGCTGGGAAGAAGAAGACTAAAAGATAATGATGCTAAATTAAAGAGCTTTTTCTGTGTTTTAAGTTGTTTAAATAAAGATATGGCAGAAGGTCATATCCAGTAAAAAGCAGAAAAATCCTGCAATAATTACAGATAAATGAAGGGACTACCTAAACATAAACTCAACCACAAACAACAGGCCTTTGATTAACAAATCTTTATGTATATGAAAGAAAAAAGCTGTCCTTTGTTTTCTTTTTTGTTGTTGTTTTTTTCTTGTTCTGTAGGTGTAAATATCCCCAAACTGTAAATATGGTTGTTAAGAGGATAAATAGAGGAAGAAGATATAAATGGATGGATAATAGTTGAAAATAGATGAATAGTTAAATCAAAATAAATAGATGGATGGATGGATGTGAAATGAATGGATCGATAATTCAATGGATGATAGATAAGAATGGTGGATGGACTGATGGAAATGGATGGAAAATAGATGAATGAATGGTTATGGAAATGGCTAAATGGATGGATGGATGGATGGATGAATTGGTGGCTGGATGGATAAAAAAAGGATGGAATGATGGATGGATGGATGGATGGATGGATAATGCTGTCATGTTGTATTATATTTGATTGTCTTGTATTAGACATATTTGCCTCTTTTCTCCTACATCTTCTTGTGTTATATATTACATCACTACCAAACCTTACACAGCAATATTTTTCACATCCTTTTTTCGAACATCCTTAGCTACTCATTGACCCAACCATATGAGAAATATTACTGTATTTCATCTTTCATCATGGCTTATAAATTTGTCCCATAACTTTTACTTAATTTGCCACTTACATTATTATATGTTTTTCTTGCTCTACAGTATTATTATTTTTCATATCTTTGTAAAACAGTTGTATAAACCACTTATCTAACCTTTTTTGCCACACTGTTAACAAGCAGACATGAAAATATGCCCGACGTCTTTCGACAGGTTGATTTGATGTAATACATGTGATCAGGTTGACCCTGTCGGCACTTTGTTGTTGAGTGATAAATCACTGTAGTTATGGGTGTTGACACAGCTGGGTAATAAAACAGATTCATTACAAGTCTTTTAGAGACTTCATCTAAAGTTAATTAAGATCTAAAACACTGAGAAATCAGACTCTTCTCTGATCAAAGTGAGCCTGTAAAACTAAAGCTTTGTGTTCACACTCTGCGCAGCAAAGTTGTGGGTTTACTGCAGCTATCTGTCTGAGGGTACAGACTCTGAAGTCTCCCAAACACAGATCCACATCTCCTGCCTCAGCAGAACATCATTCAAACCCCCGGTGGATCTCTGACAGTGTAGGAAACAATCCCTCCCTTTGTTTCTGCAGACAGACAGCAGCCCCTGAGGAGAGCTGGATCTCTGTCCTTTCCTTTGAGTGTCTCCGGTTCAAAGAGAAATGCTAATGAGGTGCAAGAAAGCAAATGGTAAAACAGTAGGACTGGCACGGTGAAGCAATTGTCATTCTGATTCAGCACCCTGACAGCAGGAATCATTGATTAACTTCTTTACAGTTCTGAGGGAGTCAATAAGCAGGTTTAACCGAGAAAATCACTGTTGAAACTCTCCTCTTCAGAAGCCTGAACGACTTTTTACCCAGACTCTAAGGTGGGTGGATGGCCGCCAAAACATTTACACTACTAATACAGTTAGTTCTCTAAGACTGAATTCACCGCCAAATTAATCAATGAAACAGATTAGTTTGTCTGTCCATTTGCCATTCCTGTCCTGACACACAGATCAAGGTGAATAAACAGTGTAGCAGGTAACACAGTCATCAAATAGGCTGAATAAAAATAAAGACACGTCTCATTAAGATCACACTTCGTTACACTTGAATTAAAAAAAGGTCGTCCTGATGTAAACTGAACATGATTTGCCGTAAACAGACTTGACATGCAAAACCTCCGACAACCAATAACTCAGTGCAGCTGTGTGATTTACATAATGTTGTACAGAGAAATCCAGTTCAGTATTTGAATATGTCAAGCCCATGTAAAACGGCAGACTGCTGTTGCTATGGTTACCACAAACACACTTTTACTAAATCAAACAGGATTACAGAGTCATGTCAGCCTGTAAGTAGATAACAGCATTAAATAACAGCGTCTGATGCTGTAGATTTGAGCGTTTGTGTGAAATAAAGGCAGACGGGGACAGTAATGGGGAATAGATTCCCTGTAACGGTGATGGATGAGCAGCTGTGACAGCCTCAGGCAGCCTCTACTGTTTTAAGTTGCCTCTTCTCTTTGAAAGGAGCTGACGCTCAGCCACAGACTGTCAGCCAAAGCTGTAGCCCTGTGTAACCAGTCAACTCTGTCACTGGGGAAACCTGGACACCTTTGTCCCCAACAAATACAAAAGAGAGAGCAAAGAAAATGAGTGGAGATAAAGCGTCTTTTCTGTTCACACACAGCCTGATTAGTTCACTGCCTGTCATCAAAGCGTCCTCCATTATTTCTCCAGATACGCTGAGCATGATGTAACAACCCAATTTGCTATTTCAGGCTAGAGTCTGTGGGAGCTGGGATGATAGAAAAAGAAGAGAGAGTGGATATAAGCAACTACCAGAGCGTTGCTGTTGTTTTTTCTGTCATTGTATTGCAAACAGAGAGCAACAGAGCACCGCTCGTTGTCCAAATAATCAATCTTTGGAGAGCTTACGTTGGTGTTGTTGATTGTTGCTGATATCTGAAGGTGGCCGAGCTTATTCAAGCTATCGGAGACGGAGAGACACTAAAAACAAGCTCTGCAGTTGCACTACAAGACTTCTAAACCATGAGTGATACAAATGCTGCTTCACTTCCTCAACAAAAGTGGGTCAAATAAATCAATCGAAAACAAAAATTCATCTCACAATATTGACAAATTCATAACAATTTATGATATTACCTCTTAATCCACTCAATATCACCACCCTGACCCAATTATAAGACTTTCTTTCAAGCTACATAAAAGTGGGATATTCTTAAACTTGAGGTCTAATAATCAGTTAGGTTGATGCTGTTATATACTGTATGTATTAGTGCTATGTTTGCAAAATCAGCTGATAAAATAGAACTGTATGGTATTATAACTTGTTGTAAAATCTACTAGCTTTGTGAGACCTGCAGCTTTCTGTGTTTCTGTGACATCTAGGAGATTTTTATCCCACTCAGACGATCAATTCAAGTATATTCAGAGACTGTTCGTACCATAGACTGTATATAGAATGGACAGCGTTTGCCTGCTCGCTTGGTGAAGCCACTCCGAGAACAGCACCCTCTGTTGACGGGCTGCAGTATAGGTCATACATCCCGCCTCCGCCAGCAAAGCTTATGGGGCTGTGGACAAACTTTAGAAATTTATGACACAGAATATACATTTTTCTCCCCCCTGCTAGCAATGTTGAAATGTAATTATTGTAGTTGTCCATAGTATATACAGTTGGTACCAAATCCTTCAAACATGGAGCTAAACTGTGATGATTAATCATTAGTTTAAGTTAGCTGACTATGCTAATCATAAGCTAACTTCTTGTTCTAGTCTAACTAATCGGATTCTGTGATCAGCTGAGTTGCGGCCTAAAACAGACATCAGGTTTTTGGATTTCTATGATATTTGTATTAAACTGTAATCCACTTAGTTTTCAAATTTAACCATCTAGCTGAATGAATGGTGAGTTGGATTTTTTATGATTTGTCTGGAATTCTCATGCAATAAACAGTAGATTTGAGATTTGTTTCATAAGAATTTCCCAAACCTCGACCCAGTATGTCATTTATGCAAATCAGCCACTAAAACTGTCCCTGCCTGTTTTTATACTCAACTTTTGGACCCACTGCATCTGTTTGATGATTTTGACAGTGTAATCTTTCTGCCAATGCTTCTGTTGCAAAGCTTCAGTCAACAAGTTGTTTCCAAACACTGTACGGTTTGGTTTTGTGTTTTCCAGCTAAACAGCAAAATTACAACCACAGAGGACAATGAATAAAACAATCAGGTCAATGTTGTTCCCCTCTCTTGAGTGAGGACTTTCCTGAACGACTCAAAGGCTCTCAGCTCTTCATGGTATTTAGTAATGCTTCCTAATTCATAGCTACTTCTTTTTTACCCCCCCTCCAACATTGTTCACGTGCCCAGTGATGCCTTTATCCCCCAGACAAATCCCAGCGACTGTGACCACATCCTCGCCATTCTTTCCATGAAAACTCCATCTGCAGCAATTAGTGGACTCCGAGTTACACTTTGCAGAGGGCTTGGGAAAATAACATTCATAGACCTCGGAAGACCTTTCAAAAGAAGACAACAATGCCTTTCCGGCATTCCTCAGCGAATATGTACATATGCCCTCCAGCTAGAAGGGGGGAGCTCACATTCCCAGTCGTAAGGGGCTCACAATTAGCCCCTGATGGAGGACTACAGAAAGAGGGCCAAGAGGTCTTGTCAGGGATGAAAAAGCCCAATTGAGATTAACTGTTTAATTCCAGTCAATGCACTGAGTTGTGATTCTCTGCAGAGCGCAGGGCACATGTTCGGCCTGTTTCCCATAAACCCCACGCAGAAAAAGTAGATCCAGACGTGGGATTAAATCCAGGCATGGGCAGCAGTGCATGTGTGTCACATAACCAAGAATTTCCTTCCATCCGTCAAAGGGAGTTACAGGCGTGACGGGACATAATGTACCCATTGTGCTCTACAGCATCACGTCTTATCTTCAAGCAGAGGAATGTCATGGAGGACTTCAGGGAGCTCGCAGGTCTGCAGCCGCCGGAACGCACCAAAAAGAGAGCACAGTGCACGGGTACTGAGCAGATCCGAGGAGGATGAGGATCAGGATGTCAGAGATAAAAACACCCTTCGAACACGATGTTTCAGTCAGTGGATAAGACTGTTTTGCTGATAACTTCACTTCTTTCCACATGATGAGAAAGAGGTTACATACTTTAACTACATCTACACAAAAACGTCATTCCACTCAATTTTTGCTGTATCAGCGACAATCACAAATGTTGGAACCAATGGAATCCAGTTCCACAGAGTCTTGACTGCACCTGCCTAAATAGAAGTGTATTAAGTTATAATTTCATTTCCTTGGCTTTAATTTGTTTAATACATTACATGTAGCTCTTACATTTATATATTTTTATACCTGTTTCATTAATTTCCCCATGAGACGCCCTTAACAGTGATTGTGTTACAGGTGTGCTCTTTATAATGGAGGTTGAAAACACATGGTTTCAGCCCCAGGCGCAGATTTTCATTTTTTTTCCCAGATGATGCACGATGGTTAACAAATGGTCTGAGATGCACATGACAGACTAAATAACCACAGCCTTGCTCTGGGGTTAACTGCCAACATTTCTTTAACCACAAGAGGAAATCACAAGGCTGCATCTGGTACCCATACTCTTACAGTATACAGCAGAGTCACAACCTGTGAAGCACCGCTTATCCTTTTTCTCACCGGGTTATACCCAGATTTATGAAGCGGAGTCCATTTTTTACATGGTTTGGCGTAATATGGGAAGTAAAGGCTGTAATGTAAGCACAGGGAGCTGAGTGATTGAACATCCACTTGTTGCCCCAAGTGTCTGAAAAAATTACCATAAGGATTCCTACAAAGAAAGACCTTTTGTTAGTGATTTTTTTTGAGTCCTTGTTCAGCAGCAGCAGCAGTAGGGTCTGTGAACTATGACACAGTGATCATATATTTAACCCTCCTACTGTGTTAGTGTCTGCACCAATCCGTTTTTGTTTTTAAATTCTTAAAAATACCACAAAACTAGCTCTTTGACATTAAGACATTTTGACTTTCCGAGGAACTTCTAATTCACAAATTAAAAAAAATAAAAGTAATCAAATTGATTAAATTATAAAATGCTTTTATTAAAATTATGGCACTTTTCGTGTTAGGGTTGCTGTTGACCCACTTAGATTAATATTTAATAATTAGAGCAAAAACTATAATCATATGTTCACTGTCAGGCACCACACTGACAGTCAGATCCTCTTCCAATCATGTGAGATCTAGGAAATTCTCATCTTGCCATGTTTTTTCCTGCATAAAAAACAACATTGGGCATGTCCAGACATGTGAGATCAATTCAGTATAGATGTCTGTATGAGGGGTAAACTGACAAAGAAAGGCCCAGAGGACCACTACAAAAAACATTTAAAAAAAAGCAATATTTTCATGGATAATGAAGCCTAACAAGTTACCCTAGAGATAAGGAACCAAATTTGGAAGATCAAGAATTGACAAGATAAGAGAACACAAAACATCAAATCAAAACCTCTACACTTCATCATCCACCAAGTTTCCCCATCTTTAGATGCTAATCGTCACGACAACCGGTGGTCAGGGAGGACTGTACACCTACTCAGAGCTTATGCTGCATTCAAGTTACCTTGGGAGTCAGAAGTCTGAGCTGGAAATGACGTCACACCCGGGTTACCAGGGTTTCAGTTACCAAGTTGGAAAAAAGCAAAATCAGAGGTGGAAATAAGATGGCTACTTCTACAAAAGTTACATTAGCGCTTGCCTTGTCCGAATATAAGCAAGGACAAGGCAAGCGCTAAAGTAAGTTTTGTAGATGTAATTATCTTGTTTCCGCCTCCGATTTTGCTTTTTTCCGACTTGGCGCTGGTAACTCGGGTGTGACATCATTCCCAGCTTAGACATCTGACTTCCGAGGTAACTCAAACGCAGCATTAGTGTAAGACTTCAGCCACTCTGCTCTGTTGAAGAAGCATTTATACAGGTGCATGGCCTTTTTCAGTGTTTTATTACAAAGTTGTGTGGTGAACTACTGGCCTAGCATGCATGCAGGAGCATTGGGCTGAGAGGGAAGAGAGTATTTAGAATTCAAGGCCCCTTATGTTAAAAAAGAGGCCTCAAAGATAAAGTAATGAATGGCCGTCAATGGAGAGAGAGGCCCTTGGAGAATGCCTTTTATAAGGGCCCCATATAAACAAGACCTTTGCTGCTCCTGAAGAACTTAAGTCAAGGTCTTGAGATTTGACAATCAGCTGCTTCCTGACCTTCCTAAGATGAGGAACAAACTTAGGGTGTCTATTCTCATTCATACTCAATATTTCTGTATCAAAAACACAAAGCAAGTTGGGCAAAAAAACAGACCTTCAGTTACGGTCAAACAGAAAACGTTAAGTGCTACCTTGGATCCTGTCCCCGTCCTCCCCACATCTTTGCTTAACATAGTGTGTAATAGACAGATAAAGACCTGCGGCAGAGTGATAGTTGATTTAAATTGTAGTTTCAGAGACCAATAACCAATTAAGTGGTTTCATTGTCTGTCAACACTCATCCATGATTCTAGGAGCTTACAGAAGACGTAGACTTTATTATGTTTGGGATGATTTTATGAGGCAGCAGCACTTATCATTGAGAGGAGTGCATGTAAGGTGAACACAGAAAAAGGCAACGTTAGATTTCGTTTTGGGCTTCAGAGAGTGACAAAATGTCCAAACAGAGAGTCGGAGGAACAGATTTGAGGAGCACTACATGAATGAGAGGTGACTCAGCGCAGCCAGGTGGTTCGACAATAAGAAAGAAAACTGAGCATCTACAAATGAATGAGGTTTGGTTGGTATGAAGTGTTTTTTAAAGCAAACAGACCAGACAGTTAGTTGAATAAAGAAGTGTGTTTCCTGTGGATTGAAGGGAAGCCAACAGTGTTTCTACAACCGAACAGTCAGGGGAACAAAACAGCTCATTAAAACCTGATTCATCTTTTTTTCCAAAGCATTAAGTCAACATTACAACCTCAAGTCTGACTCACCGAATTAAAAACTAATCAGCCTTAAAAAGTCTTTTTATACATCTGCCAAATCCATCCCAATCCTCAAAAAAGGTACGGAAAAGACAGTTTGATGTACATGCATGCTTTTAGTGACGTACTGACCTCTCTTTCAACATCAGGTCAAAATCATCAAAATCATCAACTTGTCGATGAGAAATCAAATTTTACTGTAGAGAGGATTGATTATCAATAAGTCACCAGCACACTAGTATACAGATTAAAATACTGACAAACCCCGACATGATGCTGTCTGGTAGCTGTACTTGGCTACATCCGGGTAGTAGAGTCTGCAGTGGCCCAGCTTTTAACTGGAACCAAAGATGTCTCATATCACTCCAATTTTAGCTGCTCTAAAATAGCTACTTACGGGCAATTTCCACCGCATCCGGAATGGATGAATGAAAGTGTGTATCCGCCGGTCGTAGCTGATCGTAATCACTCAGGTCAATGTGTGAATTACCACCGGCTTCTTTCCATTTCGGTGCAGATCGCCTGACTC